TTTTCCAGAGGTCCAGAGTTCAATTCCCAACAACTACGTGATGACTCACAACCATCTATAATGAGATCTGGTGCCCTCTTCTGGTGTGCAGGCATATATGCAGGCATAATATCGCGCGCGCGCACACGCGTGAGTGTGTGTGTGTGTGTGTGTGTGTGTAATAAATAAATAAACAAATAAACCTCAAAAACAAACAAACAAACCTCTTTGTCAGAGTAAGCTAATAGACTGTAGGAGAATCAAATTCTGACCACTTTCCATTCCCCAAATGTTTGAATGCTAACTATCTTCCATCACTCAGCTTCCTGGAAAGTTGCTGTCAGGCATCTTCAGGGCTATTTATTTCCTGACTGTAACGCCATGGCAACTAACAGCCACTTCTTGGGCATGGCCAGGGTGGGCAAGTTCTCAAGAGCAGTGCGTATGAACTTGGTTTTCTTTCTACTAACTCATCGGAACACACTGGTCACCAGTGATAACGTAATAAGGATCAGTCAGAAAAATCCCACAGTTACCTGACTCTGGGGGTCTGGACCACCACTACACACCCGTGAGGAAAGGGGCAGCCTCCTTCCCGTCTGTCTCAGTCTGAAACCATAAGCAGCAATGTCTACAACCTCAGCACGGGGGCGGGCAGGGATCTGGGGACGCAATCATGAGCCACACACTCTACCAGTGAGCTACACCCCCAGCTCCTTATGGAAGGTTTGGTAGACTCTTTGTACCCATTACTTTTAAAGCTAGTACTTGGAAGGCTGAGGCAGGAGGATGACATGTTTGAGGCTACACTGGCTTACAGAGTGAGAGCCTGTCTTCAAATAAGCAAACTGAGTTGTCTACTTTCAGGTTTGCTAATAAATAACTCAGAAAGGAGGTATGTGTTATAATATCATTCCTTCGCGTTTGACTTTTATTAATACCTGGATAGTGAGTCTGCCAAGAAGATTCAATGAAAGCCAGCGAATAAAATTAGAAAACTGCAGCCGGGCGGTGGTGGCGCACGCCTTTAATCCCAGCACTCGGGAGGCAGAGCCAGGCGGATCTCTGTGAGTTCGAGGCCAGCCTGGACTACCAAGTGAGTTCCAGGAAAGGCGCAAAGCTACACAGAGAAACCCTGTCTCGAAAAACCAAAAAAAAAAAAAAAAAAAAAAAAAAAAAAAAAAAAAAAATTAGAAAACTGCAGGGCTGGAGGGATGGCTCAGAGGTTAGGAGCATTGGCTGTTCTTCCAGAGGGCCCAGGTTCAATTCCTAGTACCCAGATGGCAGCTCACACCTGTCTGTAACTCCAGTTCTAGGACTTCTGATACCCTCATACAGACATACATGCAGGTAAAACATCAATGAACATAAAATTAAAAAAAAAAAAAGAAGAATTAGAAAACTGGTAGGAAACAAATTCAGAGTTGCCATCTCAGGAAGAAACTGCCCAACAGTAAGACAGCCCCATGTTTATTTCTCCATTCACAGACTATATACCACCAGTTTTAAGGAAGAATTTAGGGAAGCAGGATACTGTAAGTATACCTGTGTGTCTCTTGAGTAGAGTCACACCGATTTCTTGTTGTGTGTTGTTTTTCAATTACAATACAAGACCAAGAGTTGAAGTTCCCACTGGAGTGGTACACAGCACTCATTACCACCAGAAACCAGGGGAATGTTCCAGGGAGACAGACTCATCGTTTCATGAGATGAAATGAAGCCAAAACCCTAGGCTAGTATCAGCTGCCTGCAGATCATCTGCGGCCCTTGAAAGTACTCAGCTTCCAGACGCTGGTGTAACTCTTAGAGACAGGGTTTTTCTGTGTAGTTTTGGTGCCTGTCCTGGAACTCACTCTGTAACTCAGGCTGGCCTCGAACTCACAGAGACCCACCTGCCTCTACCTCTCGAGTGCTGGGATTAAAGGCGTGCGCCACCACCGCCTGGCTGGTGTAAGTCTTTTCTGGGGATGGGGAGTTTCTATCAGAGGGCAGTTACTTCCTGCAAACAGCAGCCATCAGGACGGTGCTTCTCGACCATCGTGTTTCCCAAGTGCTCCCTGCCATCAGGACACAGCTTAGGACAGCTGGGCAGGTCCTGTCCTTTCTGATGACAGCTCCAGACCAACAGGGCCTTTTTACCTCATGTGCCAGAGTTCCCTCCCTGTGGGCTGAATGTGTACTCTACCCCGAAGGGATGAACGACAGGTCCAGTAAACAGGATTTCATCTCCCGGAGCTCCTGGACCTCATCACTCTCAGGGCCACACTGCACCAACAGGATCTTTTCCGCTTTCCGTATGGTATTCAGAGCCTCAGGGACTGCCAAGCTGAACCAAGGGAGGAAAACTGGTCAGTTCACTCACTCAGTCAAAATGAAAGCCAACTCCTTTCTGGACAGAGGACACAAGGGTCAAGTCCATTCCATCCTCCAGATCTCATGGAGGGCACAAAGGGTCTACATTCACCACGCCCTCCAGGATCTTACCATCTAAAAGGACAGATAAGAAACTTTCACAAGCATACAGCAAAGCAGAGTTTGAGAAAACTCTGTGTGTGTGCGTGTGTGTGTGTGTGTGTGTGTGTGAAAGACAGACTCCAGAACCTCGAGAAAAACAGGCACATTTTAAAACCGTAATCAACATTTATCCAGAGGTGTTCACTTTAGGGTGCCCATGTCCCACCTGACTGATTCTGTGTCCTTCCTTCTCTCTGACCAAACATGCTGTTTCTATCTCGGGGAGCAGGGCTAAGCTAGCCCTTTCCCTTATCGATGTACACTAATGAGTTTTTAATCAAGCTGGAGGTATGCTACCCACATAGAAATACTACCAGTGGGGACAAGTTTCACTTCAAGTGACCTCAGTGGCAGCACTGGGTGCAGGACCAGCTAGCGCACTGACTCCGCTCTTGTCTGTGTGTGCAGTGCAGGGATGGAACCCAGGGCCTCGGGAAGGCTAGGCAAAGGTGCTACCGACGGAGCCTTTCCCTCAGCTGCAGCCTTTCCCTCAGCTGCAGCCATTCCCTCAGCTGCAGCCATTCATTCCCTCAGCTGCAGCCTTTCCCTCAGCTGCAGCCTTTCCCTCAGCTGCAGCCTTTCCCTCAGCTGCAGCCTTTCCCTCAGCTGCAGCCTTTCCCTCAGCTGCCTTTTTAACCTTGAAAGCAGGGATTCTCCCCCGGACGTAACTTGGGTGACTCCACGTGGAGGCTGTCCTGTGCACTGCGGGTGGAGCCTTGACCCACTAATGCTGGCAGCACCCCCTCCTTCAACCCTAACAATCCAAACTGTCTCCAGACACTGGCCAGTGCCATCTGAAGGCAGAATTCCTTCTGCTTGAAAACAACTGCTTTAAAAGGAATAGGATGCAAACCAGGGAAAAGGCAGAGGGCCTGGAGTTGAGAGTGGCTGGAAAGCCAAGGGAGGTGTGATTCAGCTGAGAGGAATGCTAGCAGGCGGGTGAGGCTGCCTGGAAGCCCTCCCTGGGAAACTCGGTTCAGATCTAAGAGCTTTCTCCACATCTCTCAGGAGGAAAGTCAAAGCTTCAAGTCTGTCAGTGAGGCAGAGGGCAAGGCTCTGTCCTACACAGGAAATAGAAGAGCTTCAACACGCTTAAAACACACACTGTAGCAAAAGTCATCCACTGAAGTGCCTAGTAAAACACAGAACAGTATGTGCCCTGGCTACGAAGAGGAAAGACCTACCCATTGAACAAGACTTGGGCCAGTTTGAAGAGCTCATGGCCAATCTCAACGCTGGATGGCCCATGGCGAGCTTCAACCACATGGACACTCTTCTGGACATGGGCAGCAGACTTTCGCCAGTCTCCTGTGGGAACAGTCTCATTTCAGAAAAGAACCACCATCTGCCCAAGGCTCTCAGGGCGAGGAAAGCAGAATGGAGGGAGAGCCAAAGAGACTGAGCAGGGCCACAAGTGAACACGAGGCTACGTACCTAAGGCAGCATAGGCCTGGCCCAGGCCATCTTCAATTTCCCCCACAGTGGTGTGCTCTGCTGACAAGAAGCTCTCGGCAGCCTCCCGGCATCCCAATAACTGTTGAATGGCTTGCTCTATTGAGTCAAAGGAAAAACACCTCACGACAGACACAGACCTGGACACGAGAGCCCAGATTACAGGTTCTCTACTGGCTGGGCCAATGTGGAAATACCCCCTTATTTCCCTGAGTCAACAAGCCAGCATTCCAGGAAAGCTGCTGTCCCTTACGTTTTCTCTTTCAGGAGAAAAAGGTGCTAGATGGGGCCTCTCCACATTTACTCCAGGCCCCTCACATCCATTCCCAGTATAACCAACTCCACAGCCCACCTGTAATCATTACTTCTCTTGACTCTAGGCTCAAGGTCAACTTCAGAATCTTGGCTGAAACAGGTGAAATAGAGTCCTACCACGTCAGGGTCTAATAGCAAGTTTCACAAATCCCCCTCTGAAAAGAAGGGCTCCCTCTCTCCCTCTCTTCGTGCCGAGGCTAGCTATGAAAGCTCTGCCCTGAGCCACAGCACCAGCTCCGAGCAGGGTCCACCGCGGCGGCTGAGGGCAGAGCAATCTTCCCCAGATGGTCAGTCATCAGGCTGAGAGTTAAGATAAATGACATGGGACTTCTGGGGCCACACAAAGCTCATGGAAGTCAGAAAGTCTTTCTGGTGCTCGAGGTACTGGAACTATCTATAACAGCTTAAACCATCGGGCACTCTTTCAAGGACACTGGACTAGAGCTGGTTAGGGTTTGGTCTCCCTGGCCTATATGGCCATCTTGTGGCTGGTGCTGGGATAATGAAATCCAAGTCTTCGTTCATTTACTGAGGACTAGTCTTGACAGCAGCATGAACAACAGGGAAGAGGCTGGAGGGCCGAAGCAGCAGTCAGCCTCACCTAGTTTACCATTCCGGAGGAGCTTCTGGGCCCCGCAAACCTGCTGCTGAAGGTCCTGGAGGCGGGAGACCAGGTGGTCCTTGCTGACGGATTCTGGGCAAGACTCGTTGCTGCAGCTCAGCACATCATTTCCCTGTGGAAGCCGGTTCTATCTTTACTCCTAAGCCAGAGCAGTTATCAGCATTGCATGCTGCATGCACAGGGTCACTGACCTGACGGGAAAGAGACTCCTGCACTAACACATTGCAAACAAGGCCTGAGTGAATTCGGTCTAATAGCAATTCTGATGAGAGCAGTAGCTGATCCCATGCCAAGATTTCATTTTGGGACAGAAACGATATAGTCTGTAATCCTTTACACCTTAGCAGCCCCCCCATCCCTTCTGGGGAACAGGCCTTTAGATGATGAACATATGTATATTGGTTATTTGAAAAAAAAAAAAAAAACCATAAGAAACGCAGTCATAGAAGGCGGGATGTGGTGACACACTGCTATAACAGTGGCACTTGGGAGCCAGAGGCAGAAGATGACGGGTTTGAGGCCAGCTGGGGTTATGCAATGAGTTCTAGACCATCCTTGCAGGGAGAAGGGAAGAGGAAGAGATATGGCTCAAAGGATAGAATCACCTTATTAAGAATCTACTGGAGGGGCTGGAGAGATGGGTCGGCGGTTAAGAGCACTCACTGGCTGTTCTTTCAGAGGACCCGGGTTCAATTCCCAGCACCTACATGGCAGCTCACAATTGTCTGTAACTCTACTTCCAGGGAATCTGACACCTTCACACAGACATACATACTACGTAAAACACCAATGCACATAAAATAAAAATAAATAAATCATTAAAAAAATAATCTAGGGGTTGGGAATTTAGCTCAGTGGTAGAGTGCTTGCCTAGCAAGTGCAAGGCCCTGGGTTCGGTCCTCAGCTCTGAAAAAAATAAAAATTTAAAAAAAAAATCTATTGGAGAAAGCCAGGTGTAGTTCTAAAGGCCTGTAAAGACCCCAGAACTTGGGAAGTTGAGACAGGGGAATCTCAAGTTTGAGGCCGTTGTGGACTATGAAATGAATTCTAGGCTAGTTGGGTGTGGTGGTTTGAAAATGGACCCAAAGGGAGCAGCACTATTAGGAGGTGTGGCCTTGTTGGAGGCAGTGTGTCACTGTGGGGGTGGGCTTTGAGGTCTCTTTTCTCAAGCTTCAATCAATGTGACAGTTGACTTCCTGTTGCCTCTGAGCCAAGATGTAGGGCACTCAACTCCAGCATCATATCTGCCTACATGCCACCATGCTCCCCGCCATGATGACCTCTGAAACTGTAAGCGAGTCATCCCAATTAAATGTTTTCTTTATAAAGTTGCCATGGTCACGGTGTCTCTTCACAGCAACAGTAAACCTTAACTAAGACATTGGGAATACACAATGAAACCCCGTCTCAAGAGAGCAAGAGTGAGGGGGAACTAATATAAAAGGGTGCTAGGCCCCAGCATGGCGGTACACAACTTTAATCCCAGCACTTGGGAGGCAGAGGGCAGGTGGATCTCTGTGAGTTCCAGGCCAGCCTGGTCTACACAGCGAGACCCTGCTAAAACAACAAACAAAACAAAAAGTGCTAGGTAAGACCTCATATTCGACCCTTGGGTTTACGATTTTAGCTTCTGAACATAACTAATTCCACTTACAATATTCCTAACAAGAATGCCATCCTCTGGTAGTGGAGAACATTTTTCATCTGGGCAGGACTGTTGAAGACTCCAGTGTCTATGCCATTTTCTGGCAATAGCAGCTCAATTTCTCTAAGGATCTATGCTCCCTCTCCCAAGGTCAATGTCCTTAGCTGAGGGGCTCAGATGTGGTTCCTTCCTCTGGGTCAAATGGCTGAAGGAAAACTCTCTGGGTTGGATTTTCCCAGTTTCTGCATCAATGACACACAATAAGACTTCTGGTCAGACTGGTTTGGACTGGCATACGTTTTCATCCTATTGGGCTAGGTGGACAGGAGGCTGAGGTGGTGACAAGCATCTTGTCACCATACGAGCGGAGTGTGTCTGGTGAGGCTAGCACAGAGCATGGGGTTGAGAAGACAAAATCTGGGTGCTGGTGATGTTATCTGAGCCCCTGATTAAGCTGGATCTGAAACTGTTCTCTGGGATGTTGTTTTATTAGCTAGGGCCTCAGCCTTCTGGGTGCTGGGGTTACAGGTGTGAGCCAACTACCAGATCTGATACAGAACTTCCCGTGATTTATTTGAGCAAGTATATTTCTAGTTTTTTTTTTTCTTCCACTGGGTCAAAGTTAAGATTTTGTGTCATTTGTAAGGAAAACATTACTAAATCCAACCTGACCCTGTGGTTGTTCTCAGGGTCGGGCAACATGTTTAGATGATTTACTAAGATGGAAGTAATAACAGTGTTCTTGATAAACCCCCAGTGGTTTCTCTCAGTGACTCCTTTGGGCCGGAGCACTGACCTCTGGAACAGTAGAGAAGACTTACCTGCATGAGCGCTCTGCACGTGCTACAACAGAAGGCTTCCCACCTGGGCTCTGCAGCTGCTCTGAGCGTCTCAGTGTGACAGGCTGGACAGCTGCAGTCAAAGAAGTACTGAGAACTCAGCTTCCGCCGCCTCTCAGCAACACCCATCCGGCTCTCATGAGGCCCTGGAGAGAGATCACCCACAGTAACTCTCACATGAAGAGAGTCAAAGACTACTCAACAGAGGGGCTGGGGTATTCATCACGGGACTGAAATGGCAGAACTGGGCTGGGGTCTGGCTCAGTGACAGACACTAGTGTATGTGAGGCTGGGCACTATCCTATCATCTCAAAAGAAACAACAACACATGGGTAGAAGTGGATAAGCTTCCAAGCTTCTAGGGCAGGAAGAAAAAGAAGCCGAGAAGATGCTCCTAGCCTATTTTCAGGATATGTAGTCTACAGGAATTCAGCATTGAGAGACATGGCTCACTGCCCTCAACAGGCCTTTTTATTATGGCCAGAAGACCTTTTTTATCGGCCTAAGGATGCACTGTCTTTTCCAGGGAAAACACGGAGGATAGGCAAGCGGCGGCACCGGCTCAGGGCCTGCTCATTCCTGTCCACCTGTCCTTTGCAGGTGGGGCAGCGCAGGGCAGCAGAAGGAAAGGCTGGCTCACCATAGCAGTGCACAATCTCTTGTCCCCTTCGGATGTGCTGTGCTGCCCGGACGGTGGCGACAGTGCTAGCAAAGGACACACCAGTGTTGGGGCTGCAGGAGTGGTTCAGGAGGCTGACAACAGGAAAGACGCCTGTGGCAAGGCGTACCTGCCTGCTCTCGGTAATGATGCTCTCTTTAGACCCTGAAAGTGCAAGAACAGAAAGAAATATGCATCAGGACATTTGTCCTGTCCTTACATCTATTCTCAGAAGATGAACTGAGCAGCTGGGCCTGAAGCCCATCTGAGTCATGGCTCCGCAGCCGGATCCAATATAAATCGGATGTAACATGACTCATAGCAAACTCTGGTCCCCAGGAAGCAAAGTGAATGAGTCCATGAAAAGTCCGCTGGAGCCTAACCATTATGCCTGTGTGTCACTCAAAAATCCCAATATTAGAATTTATAAAAAATAATAAAAAAGGGATTATCAGTAGGGAACTTTCTAGAGTTTCATAATGTTCACAGGATGCAGAACCATACTACCCCTGGGATTATCTCCCCAAGATTTTTAAAGTCTGGGTGCTTTTGTTTAACTGGTCTTTGGTTAGTTATTGGAATAAGTGTCCTAGCTAGTATAGCACATTTTATATACTTACACAGACTTAAGTGTGTATAAAACACTCAGCCTTCTTTATCCTGCCCTTTGTCTAACCTTTTTGGAAACTGCTCTGCAGTCTCATGTAAGCAAACCATCTGTACGTGTTTTACTGAAGGCAGTCTTACGTCCCAGACAACCTCTCTGCAGTACACTCAGCCAATTCAGACACCTGCAGGTATGGAAGGGAGAAAAAGGGCCTCTAGGCAGTGATGTGTCTGCATGAACATTCACGCATACGTGAGTTGTTCACACTCATGTGCACAGCTATGTTCGTGTTAGGTTTCTGTTGCTATGGCAAAATCAATTTTAAAGAAGCAAAGGAAAGGTAAGCTGACTGATGCATGCTTGTAATCCTAGCATTTGAGAGGCTAGGACAAGAAGATCAGCCTGGGACCCAAAACTGATCCTGGCTCAGACAAAACAAAACAGAATCAAAACCAAATCCAAAACCCAACCAAAACAAGCGAGAGAAGAGGCACTGGGGAGGTCTCCTTCCACTGTTCCCTGCCTCCCAAAAGTTAGCGGTGGTCAAGGTTCTATCTAGCAAGAGGATCTGTGGGTGACAGGTAAGATCCAAACTCTAACAGCCTACATGCTCTTCAAACAAAATGCTAATTGATTTGTTATGCAGTTTTTCTCAGGCCAAAGTTCAGAAGCAGATAACTACCATGTGGGAATATATGGCAAGGTTTTCTGCCAATGGGGAGACAGACAGCAATAGACTAGAGGGGGCAGAGAACTCCTAAGTGTGACACAACAGTCCAGGACAAAGAAAACTCCATTCCCACTCAAATTTCACTTAACCAGAGGCTCCTAGAAGGACTGCACACCTACAAGGGTTTTTCTAATAGCCAAACACAAGCCAGGAGTAGTATGAGATATGTCAAGTTGGCTACCTAGAAAGGCTTCAATTAAGATCACAGCCTCAGTTTAAGAAGGAGGAAAATCCTATTTCCAACAACCCGGTTGAGATGTGAAAACTGATACTTAAAGGGACACAGTTTTCTAAAAACCTGGGAAACTATCAGATCACTGTGCTGTCACTGTACATGTGCCAGGAATCTCAACTAGTTGTTTATCAGAGAAGTAACTGGTCTGGATACAAATGTAATGAACAAAGAAAACACCACGAACCATCATGTAAAAATGTTCTACAAAGGAAAAATTAAATATCAGAATTATGTTGTCTCTCTGCAGACAATTCTATTATCTGTTGCTATGGGGGACAAGCACAGAACATGTAAATACAATTCGCAGGGAATCCAAATGACTCAATTTTAGTCAATAGTTGTACAAACTGCATTAAAATCTTTCATCAGAGCTTCTCCTAAGTGCTCGGCTGATTTGAGTCCCTCTCCTCGCTTCCAATGCCTACCTTCTGGAAGACGTGCTAATGAGCAGTGCAAATGCTAAAAGGTAGGCAGCGGGCAGGAGCAGTACAGGGCACGAACAGTTTGTCATCTGAATAATCAGCGTCTGCATAATTAAAAGTTGACTTGCATTCTCAACTACTGATAACTGGCAGTCTGTATTAGAACAGTTGCTAAAATTTTCTCAGGAAAAACTGATTGCACCACAGTGAGTAATGTGAGTTATTTATAGACCATCCTCGAGCAGAAGTAGGCTCAGGAACTGAGTGGGTGTTGGTGTCAGAGTTGAATGTCTCTCTAATTATTTCTAAAAAATTGAGTATTGATTTTTAAAAATTACTCAATATTTTGCATTAGTCATCTATTAGTGGAGATAATAGGAAGAGAGGGTATGTATGCACCTTATCAACCAAATTTAATGGGTGACATTTTGTATATAAAAATAAGTGTGAGTGCTTCTCTAGCAGGAGTGTACCTCAGGTTTAAAAGTGTTCCCTGGTACATTTCAAATGGGACTCAAGTAGAAGGAGAACAACAGAAAGACTCATTTGCATGTCTAGGACACAGCTACCCTGATAAATAGTCTGTAATGAGAAGTGTGTGGAGATGACCAGGACCAAACTGAAATAACCCAAAGGGCAGTTAGCTGATTCCAGACCACACAAAGCCTCATCAAGGCTTGTTAAGACATGAATCCAGATGCATCACAGATGTGCCTTTCCTACGGGGACAGAACCACACACCCCTCTACCAAGAATATCATCAGTGGCCAGACCTATCCCTGGAGATGGGAACAGAGAGAGGTTTTTGAGGACTTTGATTAAAAAGAATTTATGCAAAGATAATAACACACATTTTTATAGGTTTTTGTCAAAGTCTATCCTAGTTAACGCTTTAATCCTTCTTCTGTGCCACTAATGAAACAGCTGCTAATGAAATTCAATGAGAACACTAAACTGGGAGGTGTTGGAACCCCAAAGAAACAATAAAAAGGGATATAACGAGATTAGAACTATGAATAGACTGAAACAGAATTAGACAGTAAAAAAATGAGAGCGAACATTGCTGGTGGCATGTAACTGGTACGACTCACCTGGAGGGCAAATTTGCAGTATGTATCAAGTGCCTTAAACATGTTCCTATGGAAATACTCTTAGCACTTAGATTGTTTCTATTATTACAAAAACCAATTAAAATTACAAAAAGAATACATGGTAGTTATGCAAAAATTAGAAACTGGAAATGACAGAGACAAAGACTGTTATCTAAAGTCCAATTAGCAGGTCCAGTGTTTGGATATGTTGTCTTTGCCACGGCCCTTCTAGTTCTAGGTATGGAATTATTACTGTTATTATTTGGATAGGATCTTGCTATGTAGCCCAAGCTGGCCTTGAGTTCACCATCCTCCTGCCTCAGACTCCTGAGTGCTCAGATTGTAGGCATGGAACATCATACCTGGTGGACGGAACTTCTAACATAATTTGTGACAAGGACACATGGTGATTTGTAAGTAATTTCTTTTCACATAATATGCCATGGCCATTTAAAAAATTGATCTAAAATGCACTCAAAATGTAATTCAAAAGCAAACCAAGTATCTTAGTTGGGGTTTCTACTGTTGAGAGATAAAACACCATGACCAAAAGGTACCTGGGGAGGAAAGGGTTTATTTCTTCTTACAACTCTCAGGTGACATGCCTTCACTAAGGGAAGTCAGGGCAGGAATTCAAGGCAGGAACCTGGAGACAGGAACTAAAATGGAAGCCATAGAGGAGTGCTGCTTCCTGGTTTGCTCAGCCTATTTTTATATACACCACAGACCACCTGCCCAGGGGTGGTACCACCCACAGTGATCTGTGCCCTTCCACATCAACCATTAATCAGACTTGCCTACAGGCCAATCTTATGGAGGTATTTTCTCAATTAAGATCCCTGCTTCCAAGACATATCTAGGTGTGCACCAAGTTAACAAAAACTAATCAGGACATCAACAAAACGACTGCCAATCTCATAGGCAGAATGGCATCTCGATTTAACTTCTATAGAGTGGGTATAGACTGACCTTTTTTGTCATGATAATGTGCTTGCTCATGTGCACTTACAAAAATTTCATCAAGAGGCTGTGGGTGTAGCTCAGTTGCTAGGAAGCACGAAGCCCTGTGTTTGATCTCTGACACACATACACCCAGAACAAAATAAATACATACAGACTGCATGATGTCACAAGTTAAATTCTGCTGGGCATGGTAGTGCATCCCAGCACATGGGACATGCAGGCAAGAGGGTCATGAGCTCAAGGCCTTCCTCAGCTATGTAAATGAGTTGTAGGCCAGCCTGGGCTACCAGGGACTCTGCCTCAAAAATTTATTTCCAGTTAAGTATTATTATTTTATGTCTATAGTATTTTGCTTGCATGTATGCAGTGCCCTCAAAGCCAGAAGGTGTCAGATCCCCTGGAAAAGGAGTTACACACGGTAACTGCCATGTGGGTGCTGGGAACTGAATCCAGGTCCTCTGAAAGAGTGGCCAGTGTTTTTAACCACTGAGCTATCGCTACAGCTCCTTTCAGTTAAATATTTTAAAAACCAGGAGCTTCTGGAGCTTGAGGAGATGGCTTAGTCGGTAAAATACTTGCTACATAAACATGAGGCCTGAGCACGTGAAAATTAGGCGTATATTTAATTTTTTTCTTATACTTATTTGTGTGTGTACATGGCATGGGTGTGGAGGTCAAAGAACAACTCTGGGGAGTCGGTTCTTTCCTTCTACCATGGGGAACCCTGGGATCAAACTCAGGTCATCAGGCTTGGCAAGAGCAAGCTTCTTTACCAGGTGAGCCATCTCACTGGCCATTAACAGGTATATATATATATATATATATATATATATATATATATATATATATATATATATATATATATATATATATATATATATATATATATATCATATATATCATACTCTGAATACTACACTTCTTTTCCACTTAGAAATAAATGGCGTACATCTTTCCTTGTAGACTGCCTTTTGTTTTGCTGGTTTTGGCAGACATCATGCTCATGGTATTCCTCTTCCAGGGTTTGCATCCATCAATCACCCAGTAGCTAGCTTGCTTCCTGGGTGGCTGTGGTAAGCAGGGCTCTAGTGAGCCTATCTGCTGAATTCTGACTGTG